GCACTTAATAGGCACTATAGTATGTATTGCTCAGATGGGCTGTACTGGCCTATCTTTGTGGTAGTTTCCAATTGGCATATTGCTTCTTGATGTCTTGTGGCCTCAGATCAAAAGTGGCTACCTGAAAAAGAGATGGCATTTGGGGCAGTCATGGTGGGCAGGGACAAATGCAAACAAGGTGGCAGGGTTGGTGATGTTACTTAAAAACCTGGGGGTTAAAGTCAAGCAAGTGCAAGTGTTAGTAGAAGGAAGAATGCAGAGGATGTTGTTGGACGCAGAAGAAATGGAGGTAGATTTGTTTAATGTATACACACCCATGGAATGGGAGGAAAGTGAAAAAGGGGAATGGAGACTCTGTAGAAGGCCAGGAGGTGGTATGAAACACTGTGGCAGACTTCTAATGAGGATTTGTACAGAAAGTGGAAAATTGATAATGAACAGTCTTCTTGGTTGAAATCAAGGAGAAGGTGGAGGATGAAAGGAAGTATGAGTTAGGAGGGGAAATAAGGATAACAGAAGTAGGAAAATGTTTGAGAACTTTTAAAAGGAAATGGGTCACCAGGGAAGGATGGACTTCCAGCTGAATTTTATGTGAAACTCTCTGTGGGTGGGAAAGGATTTGGTGGAAGTCTTCAGAGAGCTAATGGAAGAAAAAAGGATTTGGGGAAGGCTTTGCAGGCTGAGTAGTGATGCTACTGTATAAGATAAGAGATTGAGAATGGCCTCCAGCTCTTGAGGCAATCACATTATTGAATACAGATTATAAAACCCTGGCAAAAAGTCATAACAATACAAATGAAAAGTGTTCTGGATCAGGTCATATGAGAGGATCAAACATGTACGGTGGAAGGGAAAAGAATCACGCAAACATGCTGGGTATTGAGAGATGTGCTGGCATATGTGAAAGATGGAAAATGGAATATGGTGCTAGCAAATTTTGATCTCAAGAAAGCCTCATGCGTTATCCTGTCATATGGTTTTGGGGGTTTTTCTTTTTTTTTGAGGTGCTGCTGAAAACAGGATTCCTGGAAAAGTTGGTAGTCTGGGTGGAATTGTTGTATGACATAGCACAGTCAGGTCCTGTGGAAGGGAGACTTGAATCATGCCTTTCAGATACGAACAGGGGTGAGGCAAGGGTGCCCCTTGTCACCTGGAATATTTATATGCACCATGGAACCTCTGGTACAGAGGATAAGGGGGGACAAAATAATCAGTAGAGTTAATATTTCGGGGGAGGGGAGTGAAATGCTCCCTGTAAATGGATGACTTTAACATGATGGTGGGAGATAGCCTCGTTTAACTTTCGCCCCTGAAGCTTCCTTGCAGTCTTCCATGTTTCAGGATTCTCTCTAATGAGACCAAGAGTGAGATGTTGGGGATCAGAAATTGGGGAGACCTAGGGAAGTTTAGCATGTGGGCAGTTAAGAATCAGATAAAAATCTTAGCAGTGGTTCTTGATATAGAAGGGAAAGGCACAAAAGCATGGGAAGAGAGGGTCATGGGTTAGGAAAATTTTGGAGTTTTGGAGCACAAGAGGTTTGTCATATGCAGGGAAGGTGAAGCTGGTGAAACAGGTGTTGCTACCCATTGTGGTGTTTGTGGGTATAATATATCCTCCATCATGGATTCAAAGCAGGAAAATCCAGATACTGATTTGTATGTTCATTTTAGAACCCCAGAAGGAACAGACTGTCAGGAAGGAATTGTATAAGGGAAAAGAGCACGGAGGGTGGGAATTACCAGACATAGAGATGTCATTTATCAATGCACGCTATGTTAGAATGGTGATGAGGGAAGCATCAGAAGAAAGTAGGAAAATGGGAAATTTTTGTAGACTTTGGGTGAGGAAATGGCTGCTGAGGATGGGCCTATATGGGACTGGGTGGATGCGGTGGTGGGCTTGGAAATTGCTGATAAATTATGGGAGAGCAGAGAACTTTAATAAAGTATGGGGTTTGGAAGGGCTAAGGATACAAGGTTTGAAAGAAAGGGGGAAGGATTTTGAAGGAAATCAAAGGGAAAGACAAAGTAACTGAGGTGAGCAATTTGTCAGAGCAACAAGCAAGGCAAGTGTGGAAAAGAGTAATGGGGGAACATTTAAAAGAGGAACATGCAGACCTGATGTAGAAAATGGTGAGGAGAGCTTTAACAGTAAGAGAGGTTCAATATAGGTGGGGTTTGGGAAGACCAGCAAAATGTCCACAGGAGAAGTGTGGGGGCAGGAGGGAGCATAGAATCAGTGGTAGATGTATTTTGGGAATGCAGCTTTGCACAGGAGGTTTGGAAATTTTAGAAGCGAATGATAAGATAAATATAGACGTTGGCTTTATGACACATTATAACCTGCTTGACATCTGACTCCCCAGGTAACTCTCCACTCCACTATTTAACTGCTACATTCATTCTCCTTTTTCTCTCTCTCTCTGCCGGCCCCCCCCGGTCTCTCATCCACTGACTCTTCAATTCACATCTTTACTGACTGCCTGTCTTACATGCATACCAGCCTCTGGCTTCTTTACTATTCATTCTATCCTGGAAGGGCACACAACAACTGCAGAGACTTCCTCAGCCTGATGAAGGGTTTTTAAACCAAAAAGCTTGCCAAAAATTTTTTCTTCCAACTATTTAAGTAGGTCTAATAAAAGATATCAGATTCACCCAAAGAACCTCATCTGCCTATGTCTTTAGACCAACACGGCTACAACCTACACCCCTGGTAAGCATATTGTCACTGGAAGAACTTTCCCACATGTTCCCTGCTGTTGGATTTGTGGTTTGGGAGAGATGGTTAAGGGAAA